TGGGAATAGTCAACCAATATCTGCTTGGATTTAAGGCTCACTCTGCAAGATGGAACTTATCCCCAAACAAATAAAATTGAGGACTTTTGTTATCAAAATCTACAGGTTACCAGTAAAAAAATCTCAGGTTTCTAATACCATAACGCCAAGGTTCATTAATTTATTTCATTTATGTCACAGCCTGTTAGGTCAAAAGTAATAAACATGCTTTGCTTTTTTTGATTGTTTTATATGTTTATGCAGAAATTTTAGAAGGTTGAATAAATTTTTTTTACTATTTTTATTGTCTGCTAAAGTAATTTGATTTTATCCACACAATCTATATACATATATACATATACTTATATACATATATACACATGCCTGTGCATATATGTATGCATAGGTTCATATATATGTATATAGGTCATGTGTAAAATCAAATTACTTCAGTAATAATAAAAATTATTAATATATGTACATACGTGCATGTGTGTGTGTGTGTGTGCGTGTGTGCAGTCAAGCAGTTTCGAACTGAGTGAGAAGCAGGAGCTTTGCCCATCAGTGTGACTTCCATCAGTGTGACCTTGTCAGTCTTAACAGTAACTGTCAGTCTATCCCTTTGCCTGAGCGCTCTCTGTCTGGCTCCATAGTGTCTCTTGTTTGTATGATAGTTCCTGTTTTATCATGGCCCTCTGGGTCGGTGGCAAATAAGAGAGATGTGGTTTCTGTTAAAGGTAGAAAGATTTATATTTGCACAACTACTGTTTCATTATAAATTCAAGTCTTCTGCATCTAGGAGCTGACACATAAAGCCATGGGTAGTCACTTGTCTGGTAATGCTTTATAGAAACAAGGCAGTGTTTGTTTATTAGCCCACTTACACCAGTGGTCCATTATAGGAAGAAAGCCACTTCCTCACTCCCTTGTCCACCATGAAGACACCATGAGAAGGTAACTATCTGCGAAGTCCAAAGAGGTTCTCACCAGGGAGCCCAATGGACCAGACACTCAATCCAGACTTCCTAACTGCCGGACTGAAAAATTCTTATTTAATCCAATCAGTCTTTGGAATTCTATATCCCAATCTCAGAACCTCTACCTTCTCATGGGTAAAACGACAATTATTTTTTACCCTATTTGTGTTCCTGGTATTTAATAAGATTATCATACAAAACATCCTGAAGTTCCTGGTTATATTCTGTTATGGTTGACTAGTGTAGGGAGTCGCTCTTGAATTACAGTGGTAAAGTTGAATAGCTGAGGTCAGCAACCCTAAAGTTTTTACTAACCCTTGATTCAAAAAGTTTGCTAATCCAAGATCTAATTGTTGAATAAAACTACCAGAATGTTTTTCAGAGGAAATTTTTAAATAGAAGAGACTAAGGCTTAATATTCTGTTAAGGGGGACCTTGTGTGTATAGTAGGAAATGAGAGGAAGCAGCCAGAGCATCACTCAGCTCCTTTCTAGTATAGCCTCGGCAAACCACACACTCTGCAACATCTCCACTGAGCCAGTGTACAAATGTAAACACTGGCCAAAGCTGCACTTTACTATGGCTGAGAACTTGGGTTCAAACTCTGATCCCCCACTTAGTAGAATTATATTCTTACTCAGTGGCCATGGTCACTATGAGATCCATACCTCACCAAGAATATGGTCTTGGTACATAATCAAGTGACAACTGTTTATCACTACCATCCTTACAGTAACAGCAAGAAAAACTCCACTCATTTACTTAGCAAATCAATGGGGAATAAGGTAAATTCACAGATGAGACATCCTACAAATTGTGGGACACGTGTCTGGGAAAGACGTTTATGGAAAAGCTTGGCAGCTACTGTGAGAATTTGTAAAATCAAAGAATATTTAATATCGAGACCTTGACACACAAAAAATAATTTGGCAGGTATAAATATCCCTCTCAGAACCTTTTTCTTATAGTTAAAATGGAGACCATTCTGCCTTGTTTGTGAGACACTGACATTAATAATATTATCATATATAAAATAAATTAGGCTCACACATATAAAATTGGCTGTTTAAATAGTAGTTAGTATTACTAACCATTGGGAGATACTCAGATACCCTTTCATAGTTCTCTGTCACATTTCCTTTGGCTGAGAATGAAGCGGCAGCAACTGGCAACACATTTTGTTCTCACAGTTTGCCAAGTGACTAAACAATCCGTTAAGAACAGAGGAATGGGATTATGAAAACAAATTAAAAATGATACAGGTATAATGGATTTGGGAAGGGAAAAACCACTTGTTGTAACTTAGAGCACACTAGAACCCTTAGACACAAGCTTAGAGTCCCTAGATGCTGATTTAAAAAATAAAACAAAGAGTTCTCAGTCTACTAGCTTATTTTTTTAAAAAACTAGGAGAGCCAAAACTATATAGGCGGTCAGCTCTAATAACAAGCAAAATGTGGGGTGTGTGTGTGTGTGTGTGTGTGTGTGTGTGTGTGAGTGTGTGTCTGTTTGAGTGAGTGTGTGTCGGTTTATGTGTGATGTACCTGTATTGTACAAACACACGCACAAGAGTGTACAAGAGAAAACAAGAGGAAGCAGAGATTTATGAATAAATTATTTTTGAAGAAATGTATATTCTATGTGTGATCTCTTTGAATTATTCCTTCTTGAGACTTTGGCTTGCAACCATATCAGTTGGTGTGCTAGCCAGTTTTATGTCAACTTGACACAAGCTGTCATTTGAAATAAGGGAGCCCCAACTGAAATATAATGCCTTTATAATCCTCAGCTATAGGGTACTTTTTAATTAATAATTTATTGGGAAGGGTCTAGTCTACTGTGGGTGGGGCCATTCCTGGGTTTTGGTGATCCCGGGTTCTATAAGAAAGCAAGATGAGTAAGTCATGAGGAGCAAGCCAATAAGTAGCATACCCCCATGACTTCTGCATCAGCTCCTGTCTCCAGTTACCTGCCCTGCTTGGGGTCTTTGTCCTGACTTCCTTCATTTTTGGACTACAGTGTGGAAGTGCAAGACAAATAAATCCTTTTCTCCTCAGCTTGCTTTTGCTCATAGTGTTTCCTCACAGCAATAGTAACCCTAACTAGGACAGTTGGTTATTTAATATTAATCTCCTGGCCTGATTTCTTCACATGGCTGGAGGAAGAAATAACTCCACATCTTGTATCAAAAATGTCATAAATATAAAGTGAGATTTGATGCAAACAATCTGTTTTAGAGAGCACAGTGACAGTATGTATTCTGCAACATGTAATGAAAATAGATAATGGCTTAGGACACCTTACAGAATGGGGGAAAATTCCAAATCTGATCCATTTTGGGTTGGTATGAATATAAGAGCTTCAAGTGGTGTTTGTAGATGGAGACCTTACAGCAGAAGGCAGAGCATGAACACAAGAACTGCGGGGTACCTAACAGCAAGCAAGAATATTTCATACTTGTTTCATATTGGGGTCCCTCCCCCTTATCCGTCACTGGCTAATGTCTGATTGCTAGCATTTCACACTATATGCATTTGAAGTTTCCCAGGCACAGGTGAGTCAGTGTTTCATCTCTGTTGCCTACACATGTTTGCTTGTCTCTCAGGTTCTGGATATTTAATGATAAATTGTTAACAAACATATGAACTAAAACTAGCTCTAGTACAGATCAAATGTTTGAAAACTCAATAGCATTCCCATTCCTGGCAGCTTAGCCTTCTCTTGGACCCTGAGTAAGAAGCACATTGATTTAATTCTGTTTGTTTCTGCATTGCTATAATGTAGACATTAATTTCTCTCTTGACTGTCTTGTTTGCATTCATGTTAACTACAAGAAAGGTTTTATGTAAGAGGCTATAGAAAGAAGGGTTCGTTATTCCAAAATACTTAACTATAGACAGGGAATCATTTTATGTGAAGTTCATTAAGTCCAGTTATCCATATGTGTATTACATTCTTAGCCATGAAAGAATTGTAGCCAATGCCCAATGACCTATAAATTAGAAACTGGAGGTTTCTTTATGCAAATTAACTTTATGCCACACTCATCAATAAAGAAACAAATGGTAATGAAGATCGATTTTGCAACATCTCCAGAGTAAAGGAACCCTGTATCTGTGTACAGGGTATTCAATGTGCCTCATTCAGTCTTCTGGTGGTGTTCTTTGAAAGACTTGTTGAAATGAGGCTTTGTAAATTGATTATGAGATGAGAAGAAAGACTGAAAGAGCACAGGAATATAAATTAGGTAGCCAGCTTGATTAACCTTCCCAACTTTAGAGACATCCACACCACAAAAGAAAGTTACAGCTGTCTCTTTTTAGATCACTGTCACAAACTCCAGCAACTAACCATCTGTGGTGCCTATCTTTGGTTGTCAACTTGAGTGCATCTGGTTTAACTGAAATCCAAAGGGCTGTATACACCTATGAAGGTTTTAGTTGTTGCTGTTGTTGTTTTGTTTTTCTTGATTGAATTATTTGAAGTGGGATGATCTACCCAATATCTGGATTTTTTGAGGTGAGATCCACCTTAAATCTGGGCCACACCTTTTGGTGGCAGCCTATATAAAGGACATGGAAGAAGGACTCTCTGGCTCTTTGCCTGGTTGACCACACTCTCGTTGACAAATTCATTCTGTCACTGACATTAGAACCTACTTCTTTGAGATTCTGACAAATATTGAAGACCATCTGAGACATCTAACTTTGTGGACTGAACAACTGCTAGATTCTTGGACCTTAGACATTCTAGACCCTGACTAATAATATATTGTGCCTTAGCAGAGTTTTAGTCCTTTTTGCTTCTCTCCAAGTCTGTTTTTCATTTTGCATCTTATATGATAAATAATCCAATATTTACTCAGATACTCAGGGTGTCTTCTCCCTTTAAAAGTAAACAGTGTAAATAAAAGAAAAGAAAATTACATCACTTTATACAGATGGGAATGTAGCACTTCAAAATGAAGTACTTTCCATTCTTGGCTGATAGAACATAGCCTGCTAGGCCCCTGGATACTCATAAGAGAAAGAAGATGTGACATACCCGCTTCCTTAGATTGCAAGTGAGAGTGAGGTTCCTGGAAAATGAGTTTGCAAATGCTGTATAGAAGTCAAGGACCTTGAGCAAGGCTTCTCGCTTAATGATGTGCAGGTCACAGTAAGTCAGGGCCCGGACATTGGCACATGCATGAGCAAGGGTGGTTTCCTTCCAGAAGATGTCTCCAAACACATCACCTTTCCCTGGAAAGCAGGACAAGACAATAGTTTCTACCACACTCACAAATGTTCTTTTGTTTAATAGGTAGTGTTGATCTATATCATTCAAGCAGGAATCCCTCTGTATATACAGAACATTTGCACAGCACCTTTTCATTGTTTGGATATCCCCAGATTTTAGGTATTCATGTTAACCTAGTGTTAGGAAAATAAATGGCATCCATTGGAGTAGCCACTACTCTCACTTTAATAAATACTTTCAATAACTTTAGCAACATTACTTTTTCCCATTCTGATTAGAAAGAGCAAAAATAGCTCCTTTTTTGCTCACACTTTCTAGAAAAAAAAAAGACAACAAAACGTAATCTCCAAGAAGCTGTTGTTATATAGATTTTATAAATCTAAAATAGATGCAATATATATTAATAGAAGTATTCAGTAACTAAGAATTACTCTCCAAGCACACTAAAGTATGTTATGTCTCTGTCCTCAAAGCATGCCCTTTGGTTTCCACATAGTTAAACCTGATAAGGTCTCAGGTCTAGCTCCAGAGCACCCCAACCATGATTCCTGAGTGCAAGAAACTGAACTATGGGAGCCAGAAAGGGCTACACACTTGTACTCCCACAGAATCAGAGTCACATGCTAGAGTCAAATGCAGATGCATCTGTAAGATTCTAGAATTGCAGGATGACCTACTCGCTTCAGCAGCAGCAGCAGCAGCTGATGCCTGAAAACATCCACCATTCCAAATCAGAAGCGCCTAGTTTTACAAAGGGCTTGAGGAAATGTCAATTGTCAATAACCCTCAAAGGCCCTTCTGCTTAGGAAGGTTCCCTATGAGCCCTCTGGCTTCTAAAGTTCAGCCATCTGCTCTCTTTGTTCTGTTTCTGCCAATATGTTTTCAAATGGAAAAGGCAGGAGGAATGTACTCTGATGGGATAAGCTTTCCTAGAGGCGTTCCATGCATGATATATTCTCTGTACATTCTAATCACACAGAGGAACAAATTCCTATTTACATCATAAAATCAGAAGAGGGGAAAGAAGAAGTGTTCCATAAAGCCCCAAAGGACAATCACACCATTAGAAAGGAAAGTAACCAGAGAAATAAGAGAAAGAAACAAAAAAGTTGACTGTGAACATCACAGATTCTTTGTCCAAATGGGCAGTTGGGTAGCTCTTAGAACAGAGTAATAGAAGGCCCAACCCTATGGGTCAGGCACACTACGGTAGATGCAGAAGCCAGGCAAGTTATTATGAAGGTGCTCAGATCACCATGCAGATCACATGATTGGCATAAAATAATCATGATAGGCACTTAATTCATTTTCAACAATCCATTTGTTTTTCAATCCACTAAAATATCCTTGCAGTTGATGTCACTGTTTAATGACTCAGTCGTCTGATAGAAACAGTCATCCAAGGAAATAACATGGAAACCAAGGAGCTAAATGGTCAACGGATACAGTATTCTGATGGCCTGGGGATACTAACAACAGAAACTTACAATAACGCCACATCCTATAGGAAATCTTTATGTGGCATTCTCTTTAAGATAGCAGTTCCAATTAAAAGTGTTTACTCTGTGTAATCAGAAGTGCTAAATTTACTTGTGAAAAAATGCTCCCAGAACTAATATTTATGATAGTCCAATGAAGTGTAGTAAGATAAAACTCATGGGATAAATAAATTATGAAACACTAGGTAGACATTAAGTAACTTAGATTATATGAAATGACATACAGAAATGCTCATATTGCATAAAATTATAAAATCAAAATATCAAATGATACACACAGTGAATTACATTTTATGGACCATACACTCCTACCTTATCACCCATACCTGTACATAAAGCTTAGAAGCAAATGCACTACTGTGGTAGTTTCTCTCAGAACTATAGGGTCAGTGAATAGTTTTCTTTTAAATGTACATGCATTGTTTGTAAAGACAAGATATCAATAACAGTGATAATAGCACAGTCTCTGGTGCTAAAAATGTAAGTTTTAAGAACACTCTTTTGATACACTTCTAGATTTTGTGCTTTTTAAAAAAATCTCTAATATAGAAACATTCTATACTATTGTTAGACTCTTATTTTTCCTTAAAGAGATGGAAAAGGATTACTTAAATTTCTGATTCATTTCTGCTACACGTTCTCAAATTATCAATTATAATATCATTTCTGGCTATAATCGACTATCTGATTTTCAGGCACTGTGATATTAGCTAATGTATTTAACTAAGTAGTCCCTGGTCTAGGAATTTATAAAAAAAATTACAACCATCACAAGTAACACAGAGGATAGTGTAATCATTCACAGCCTGGCAGTTAAAAATAAATACCATACATGCAAAACCAAAAGAAATTACAAAAATTTATGTAAAATATCAATAAACAAAAACTTCAATCAGTTTTTACAAATAACATACAAACTGTTAATCTTATAATACTAGATCATGGGGTTCTCAATAGAGGAGTTAGAGTGAAGACTGAAGGAGCTGAAAGGGTTTGTGGCACCATGAGGAGAGCAACAATACTAACCAACCACAGCTCCCAGGGTCTAAACCACCAGCCTGGGAGCACTTAGGGGGGGATCCAGGGCTTCAGCTGAATATGTAAAAGTGGAAGGCCCTGCTGGGCATAGGTGGAAGAAGAGAACCTTGACCTCATGAAGGCTGGATGCCCCAGGGGGTGGGAATTTTGAGGGTGGGGAGGTGGGAGTGGGGGGGTGTAGATAGAGGTTACATCCACAGAGAAGAAGGAGGAGGGGCGAGGGGATTGGGGGTTCCGAGGGGGTGGTGGGGGATGGGGTAAGGGGACAACATAGGAAATGTAAATAAATCATCCAATAAAAAAAAAAAAAGAATGGCATATATAGCTTGATCTTGCTAGCCATTTTTTGTCCTGGGAGTACTTTTATTTCTGCCCATCATATTAAAGCTTTTCTTTAACAACATCACATGTTGGCAGCCAATGTACATGACTTGAACCTGAAAATAGACCCCCAGACAAAGTTATTAAATTAACAAGCTGACAAGCCAAGGATGGGTTAGCTTCTGCACAGAGCCTTACCAACCTAAGACAGAAATGCATGCTTTCGATAATGCATATTCCATGATGAGTAAGGAAGGCATTCTTGTCAGAATTATGTAAGACATGCTCAGTCTTGTTTATGAAATAAAAAAGGGGGAGAGACAGAGAGCCTTTGTGGCTGTTTGGCAAAAATCTGACATGACCCAAGAACGAGGAATTGGGCTGCTTAGCAGGAATATGACATTGACCAAGGACAAGGAAGTAGGCTTCAGGCAGGAATATGACATTAGGCTAAAACAAAGAAGTAATTTCAGGTAGAAATCTAAATCTTAGGCTAGAAAAAAGAAGTAATCTCAGGCAGGAATCTAAATATTAGGCTAAAATAAAGAAGTAATTTCAGACAGGATTTAAAATTTTAGGCTAGAACAAGGACCTAGGCTTCAGACATGAAAAATGACTTTGGGCTAGGCTCAGATACTTTGGTCATCCTGATAAGCCCTTAGAAACAGTGATCATGGGAGTATTCATGTAATTTGGTTTAATGCCTTGCTTGTTATTTGACTATTTGTATTTATTTTCTTACTTGTTCCTTGACTATTGCATCTATTGTATTGCTAGATTCTCAACCTAGAATTGACCTTAATGCATGCATGTAATTAAAATGGTATAAAAGCAAAAATGAGGAGGGGGGATAGGATAGGGGGTTCTAGGGAAGTGAAATGGGAAAAGGGGATGACACTTGTATTGTAAATAAATAAAATAACCCAGTGAAAAAATAAAATTTAAAAAATAAGATCCAAAAAAAATGGTTAAATAATTTCATAAATGAATCTAGATATTCACTTGTTTCTTTTAAACTTTCCAAATTATAATTTATAGAGTATGGACTTTTAAATATTCCCTTAGAGCATTCTGAATTTCTTGGATGTCTATAGTGTTATTTTCTTGTTCATTTCTGATTGTTGCTTTGGGTCATCTATTTCTTTCTTCACTTTGGTTAGTGGGGCCAGGGGCTTACTTTCACAGCACTAGAGAGTGCCAAGCAAGATACACGGGAAAGTAGTAACCAACAGTCCCGTGTACTTATGCATATAAACTACAATGTCCAACATGCCACAATAATAATGCAAAGGGTCCAGCAGTGGCACACATATCTTGGTAGTAACCAAGAGTTCTGTAATTGGACTTATGGCCTCTTCATCAAAAGGAAAATCATCTCCGGCACTTGAAACCAAGTTAACTACCTGGAAATAATATGGTCATGGATCTTGAAGGATAATTCATTTTACTAAATCAGCACAATCAGGAACTGCCTCTAACATCCATAATAAAGTCTATAAAATAAAACTAAGGCACAAAGACTAAAAATATTGACAGAAAATATACATTTTAAAGAAAGTTTTCATGATAGAATCAAAGTGTGATGTTCAATTATGTTATGATATGTAGTCAATTATACTAGTATTAAATTGTCAGTCAAAACAAATTTAGATAAGGGATAAAAAGAACAGCTAAAAAATGCAATTCAGTAATAAAAATAAATGTTTTAAATAATATGTTTATCATGTTTTTCTTTGTCATTATTTTCACAATATTTTATATAATGAATCTACATAACCTTTATTAAAAAGAGCAAAAAAAATAGAAAACTAATTCATATATATACAGTACAATTTTGAAGCGTGAACAAATATAAAAACATTAGAGAACTTTAACAGAATTAGCAAATATGGATAAATCTAATATTGTCCTCAAACTATTCAATAAAATCTTATTGATTGGTAGTTGAGACTCAAGAATTTAAGGATATTCAATAAATGCGTACAATTTTCTCTTACCAAAACAAATAGTTGTGAATTATGTAGGCATTCAAATATTAATTAGTCATTTTATTTTACCTAACTGAAAAAATTAAAATCTTAACCTATTTCTAACTTGAAGCTTTTAAATTGATCTTTTTTTTTTCCTTTTCAAATTTAAGGCTC